ATAACACACCATACTCTTGTCCCAACAAACTTTCCTGGCATCAATCAGTCAGCTCTGTGATTGGCAAGACAGAACAGTCATGAATGTGACACCTGATCCATCACAACAAGCAACACACGTTTCAGGCAGGGTGTTAACAATGACAAGGTCAGTCGTGCAAACTATTTCCACAAATAACTGACAAAGTACTGGTATTTTTTAAAACATACACAAACAATAGCAATTTTACCAATGAAAAGGAAAGAGGCGACAGGATTGGGTCGTCAGAATCGCAGACTTGGTAGGTGCATGTCATCGTATCCCGATTGTGTGGATTGATCGTCATGATATCAATCACTGGATTGTATGGTCAAGACTAGATTATTTACAGACCGCCATCATATAGCTGGAATATTGCTGAATGCTACATTAACAACAAACAAACAAACAAACAAACAAAAAGCGGCTGTTCAAATTTGTTTGCTTCCAGTGCGGTATCGTATGAACACATCAGGTGATCTTTTTAAACAGCCAGTCTGAAGCTTCTAAATTCTCTAGTCAGCAAAGCAGTCAGACCAGCATACCTGATTTCTGTATCTTGTAATGCAATTTAACAGAAAATACAGAATGCAAAACATAAGTGCCACGCCATCAAAGTGTCATGAATATTTTATTCTTGTTTCTGAGCCAATTGGCATCTACAAGGGAGGACCATGAAAGGAATCTATTTGTTCTTAGTGGGTTTTCTTTGTTAAAATCGAAATCTTTGAGTCAATGTGACAAAGAAGGGAAACCAAATCCTTTTAGAAAGCTGAAAGCCGCTTGACTCCAAAACCCAAGCATCCTTCATTAAGAGTGAATGGCCAAAGTTGACTCAGGGTTTCAGCTGACGTGACCTACAAAAGGGTTGTCAGATCTTCATGACAAGATGCCATCATACATATGAGTGAGCGAGCGAGTTATTTAACACTAGAGCTGTGTATCGCCTGGTATCTTGCAATACAATGTGTATCGCGATATGGACTGTCAATACCACTGGTATCACAATACACCAGAACAAATAATGAAATCACTGAAATACAACTCTTTATCCTCTTGCTTCACACATTTATTTATTATTAACTCAAAAACAAAAACTTGTTATGGACAAAAAACAAGAACAGAACGGTTTTAAATGAAGGGATGGTTATTAAATGTAATAGTTAGTGGGCCTGTCCTCTATCACCATGCCTTTATGTTCTGCCATTCCCATGTTGAAACATTAGTCCATAAAATCATTAGTGACATTATGATTTATGGATAATGCCAACCTCACTTATTTGCAAAACTGCATTCAAATAATTTCACATAGCCACAAGAGCCATGGTTTCTTTGCATACAATGAAAACAATGGAACAATTACTTTATACTTTCCCATCAAACCGGAAGAAAAATTTGTAATACGCATTAAAAATTACTGAAAATATTTTCGCAAATATCTGGGCCTCTATCATGTCTTTTGGTTAAATATTCTATTCTTTTTGAAAAGATGATAATTACCTGAAGATGCAAGTTAAGACTATCCATCTCAACAGATGCTAAACGAGTTCAGGTGAGTAGAGTGTGTACCACAATTCTTCAATATGTGATTCGGGCGGTCGGGTAGCCTAGTGGTTAAAGCGTTCGCTCGTCACGCCGAAGACCCGAGTTTGAATCCCGACATGGGTACAATGTGTGAAGCCCATTTCCGGTTGCCCCTGCCGTGATATTGCTGGAATATTGCTAAAAGCGGCGTAAAACCATACTCACTCTAACAAGCTGCGCTATGACACTTCTGCCATTATGAGATGTAACTCGATCAGTTCCTGTCCTATTTTTAGTATCGATGATATCGTAGATGTAGGTTAATCATTACAACCCTACTTAACACTCGCTGACTTCGTTGATGCAATTGCCATCAAATCCCAATTGCCTGGATTGATGCACATGATGTCAGTCAATGGATTGTCTGGTCAAGACTCGATTATTTACAGACCGCCGTCATACAGCTGGAATGTTGCTGAGTGCGGCGTTAAACAAACAAACACACACAACACAGTATACCAGTCATATCACGGCATGGAAGCTTAAACATGTTAATATTGAAGGAACACCTGAAGTGATGCAGTTCTCAGACGTAAACCACCCGTTCAGGGTGAACCAGGATTCGAACTCATTATCATAGGTTTCTGTCGTACCAAAGGGATGAAAGTCTGCCCAGCGAATTACGATGCCTCATACCCCGTTCACATGCACAACATTTACTAACATAAGTAATTTTGCGTATGTGTAACTATACATATGTGCGTTTATGTAAATTTACTATGTGTTCACATGAAAAGCATCTTAGGTGTGTAAATAAAGTATGTAAATTGTGTAAGGCAAACATATTTGTAAGTCTGTTCACAACTTTAAACCCCAAACTTTTGCGTGAAACAACATGTGTTTGATTTAATTTGTACACAAAGTTTTAACTCCTTGAAACCCAAAAACACACCGTCCTCTCAACTCTGTATATATACGCATAAAAGTTGGCAACTGTTGACAATTTGTTTGGTGTTGGCAAAAGAACAGATATTAATTAGATCTTCCTCATATGTTGACATAAACTTTCACATTGCAACACACAGTGCAAATTTACATTTACATTTGCACCTGCTCCAGACATGATGCAAATTTGCTCCTGGTGTACACACATGAGAAAACGCGTTCACATGACAAGTATACACACGTATGTATTTCTACACACAAATGCACATATACACACATTTGTATAGAGGCCAATGTGAACAGGGTATTAGACAAATGGGCCACCCATGCCCCATACCTATAATAGTAAAAGATCTGATCTTAATGAGACTGATAATATCCCTAAGCTAACACATCCACTTCTTATCTACATACATACATTTTCTATGTTAAACACAGGGTAATGTCCTTATAACAGTCATAAAATGTAGCGTATTAACACCAGTGTGCAGTCACACATGAGAATTTCTCAATAATAATACACTCAATAACATCAATATTCATAAACATAACATCAGGTCCAACATGGTGGCATCTGAAATGTATTCATCTTAAACATATCACATGACATTGGTATTTTTTTTATGCAGTCCACGTACATATCACGATTCTTTATAATTAGGTGTTAAAGAATTCATTAAACGTTTGTAAATACTGTAAATCATGAAATTAATGCGTCTCCAAGAGAATGGGACCGCTGGTCCCTAGCCAAAAATGTAACTCAATATGAATGCGACACCCCCCTCCTCCCAAGCATCTAAACAAAACGTCCTCTGTCAGGTTTACAGGAGAATCCTCACTTTAATCCAAACTTACATTAAACTAATCACACACCAAATAGCACCGCTTATTAGCACGGAGTAGAGTACTTCCGCTAAAACAATACATGCGTGCTGGCTCGTGTCGGCCTTTGACACAGTCACAAAGAACAAAGACACTGTGTTGCGTGGGTGGTGTCTGTCTGGACTTGCAGGTGTGATCAGTGATGACATAAGTGAGTTGAACTCTTGTCTTGACCCCAGCAGTGAAAATTCACAGGACGTAATTAATGTTTGAATGACATTGATAAACAAGTACTGTTACAAGTTCTGCTCAATAAACAGTGATGTGGAAAACATAGTTGTTTGTTTTCAGCGTATGTCTAAAATGGTATTTCTGCTATCCAAAATGTCTTATTGTTGATATAAATGCAATGTTTAATAATGCGAGCAAAGACCACTCGAATTTTTTGCATTTAATTCACGCTCACGTTAATTTCAAGATTTATAGTATTAAATGAAAACTTTTGATCATATTTTGTGGCTATGAAAACAATAGTCATCATTACCGTTATCACAATTATCATTATTATTATTAGTAGTAGTAGTAGTAGTTGAAGTAGTTAAAGAAAAGGGATTAAAGTGACCTGTCCCCACCATGATAACAGAATCCAAGGTCAATCACTGCTACCAGCATGACATCCTCAGGCTGTCAGCATGGGGCACATTTGACCTTAATAACATCAAAACATTGCCCATTCTCGAAGCCCTTCAATTGCAAAAGGAGATTTCTTTGTTTGAAACACGACTCACTGATTGAGTGAAGCAATATTATGCAATCGGACTTGTAAAACTCTGGGGTCCTTGTCATACCTCTTAAGTTAAAAATGGAGGTTGGTATATATAGCCCTAGGAAAACTTCGGACACTAAATCATAATTTTGTTTGTACTGATATTTGGATTTGGGAACAGACTTTGTTTGATATTAAACTATCATCAGATCTCTCCTAATACTACTACTATAGTACTGTATGTAAAAAATGGTTAAATATTCTAATTAAACATAAATATGAATAAATAACATTATCATGGTAAGTCATTTTCCACTAGGCCTATAAATGTTTATAAAGCCCGTCTCACATGGGCCTAGTCTACACGTATTCACCAATAACATGTCAGTGAACATTTCAGTGTCAAATGTAAACACAATATGACAACAGACGTAGATCTAGAAATAGGTTAACTTGACTTTCACTGTTGTAGTAGATCATTCATTTCACAAATCGCACGTCGTAACAACCAAACAACAGATAATTTCATTTACTAAAAATAGCTCTAGATCTACTGTACCCAAAGAAATGGTAGACAAGATTTTGATGATCCACAGCTGACAACATTTGCGAAAGTATATAATATGACATGTTGATGAAATTAACCCCAAGAAAGGAGATGTTGCCGACACGGTCCTTATTCTAATACATAAGATGAAACATTTCTTTCCCGACTTCTAGAAAACACACTGTCAGACATGTGGACGAATAACAGAAAATGCGGAAGGATCCAACTGACGCGAAATGTACACACCTTGATGGAATGCGAAATAGGACCGTCATCAGATTCTGCTTTCTGACACAAGTGACATAGAAGGACAATTATTAGAAACTCCGTGTTAAGACACGGAGCGCTAAAAGGGAATCGAAATGAAACGACACTTACCTGAAAATACACAGAAATGATGGTAACTTGGCACACGCTCAAGCTTACGTCGCCATATTACAAACGACCTTGACCTGGAAATAGGGTCATGGGGTCAGCGATGTGTAAGGTCACGGGAGTGCTTCAGGGAAGAGCGAAAGGGGCACTCGGCGTTTATTGATTGCGTGTTTAGTTTCAGATGATGATTGCAATTTACCGAGCGACATAGCAGGAGGGAATGGTTATTGATCATTATATATAGATAGATCTATATAAAACAGGTCTCAATATAACAATCAAGTCGATCTTTCTCGAGTTCCATTTGTCAAGGCAAACACACGATTTCAAAGCTTGTAACTGAACGCGATGTTACTGTATAGGCACTTCCCCAAACCTCGGCTCTTTGATCAGCATTTAGAAATTGGGAGAACATGAATACATGACACCTTTTTTTATGGATAAAAACTTCTTTTTATTTTTTGTACGACGTTTCAGAAATAGAATCTATACTTCTTGCTCCTTAAGTAATCGGATGTTTGTTTGTTTGTTGTCTTTGATAAGCATTAAGAAATTGGGAGAACATGAATACATGACACTTTTTATATGGATAACAACTTCTTCTTTTTTTGCACGACGTTTCAGAAATACTTCTTGCTCCTTGATCGATCGGGTGTTTGTTGTTAACGCCGCACTCAGCATGATTTATATAAACCAACTATATGACGGCGGTCTGAAAATAATCGAGTCTGGACGAGACAACCCAGTGATTGATATCATCTGCATCGATCCACGCAATTGGGATAAGATGACATGCAACAACCAAGTCAGCAAGCCTGACCGCCCGATCCCGTTAGTCGACTCTAAATTAGGACAAGCACAGTCACCTTTCACGTCAAGCCTGACCGGGTTGCTGAAGACCTATATTCTACCCCGGATCTTCACGGGTTCCATCATCAGGTGAATGCCTAGTGAATGCCAAGTGAATGCCTAGTGAATGCATTAGGTATTCAGAGGATGAAGGAGCAAGAACCAGCTATGTACAAAGATAAAAAGAAGTTGCTATTCATAAACACTTTTTAAGTGTCATGAATTCATCACCTCATGTATTGTTAAATAAATATACGTACTTGTATAAATGTCCAATACCGACGCATTTGTTGGTGATATGCTCCGTACATCAATTCGTTCAACGATCATTTGTGGCATGAATTAAATATAAAAACAACTCCGATATATAATTGGACACATATATACTATATGACCAATTTATTTATTATTTACCCATGGCGTTCAACATTGTATTGCGTATACATAGCTCCCAATTTGGGGTACTTCTCGTTAATTTTTTACCTGTACCTTTCTATCCTTGCTTCCTTGTTTGATTATTTTCAGGAAAATTGGTTGGCGCCACATCAAACAGTTTTATTATTCAGAATAAACGTACTGTATGTAAAGGATAATTAATGTGCATATTAAAACACAACGCGCATAATAAACGGTTTGCATAACACAGGTGAAAGCCAACTAGTGCATAAGTTGACATTATATATATGTCATTTTGCCCTTGTCATTTATGTTCGTTTGTTGTTGAACGTTGGACTCAATATTCCATCCATGTAACTGTGATCTGTATAAATAATCGTTCCTGGGGATATATAGCGTGTTCTGTTGTTTAATTCTAGGCTATTTCGCCTTAAAACAAAGAAATTTAATAAATCTCTTTCATTTCATTGACCCCGACGTGGATTCCAGAATCGGATCGAAGAATGAGTGATGGGTGGATGAGTGAGTGAATGAGTTTAACGTCTCTTTGAACAGTATTTCAGTTATGTCAGCTTGATTTGGCAGGAATGCCCGAAGTGATTCGAGTCTCAGACGTTTACAACTTTGGGTGAAAAGTCTAGAAACAACAATGGCGAATCTGGGATTCGAACCCACGATCGTAGCAAATATGTCCCTAGCAACCTAAGGGACGCAACTCTGCACAGCGTATTGCTGCGCCTCAGACAGCTGGGCAACGTGTGTCCACATATGAACAGCTTGCCTTGCTCCAAGGCTGCACTGAAAGCAAAGTCCATGGATGTGTTGTAATTCTATCCTCCTAATAGGCAAGTCTACATATGTGGACAGTACATCTAAGGACTCCAGTCTCTTATTAGTTTTAATCATAATTTCTAGACTATGTAAATAATAAGAACAAGTTGTCCCTATAAGAGACTGGAGTCCTGTACTGTCCACATATCTAGACTTGCCTATTAGGAAGATAGCATTACTACACACCATAGACTTTCTTTCAGTACAGCCTTGGAGCAAAATAAATAAATAATAATTTACAAACAGATCCTAGAAAAATTCTTAATTTCTGGTGCTGAGGCAATCTACACTTGCCAAACCATTCTAGACTTGAGTTCGACTCCTTTTTTAATTTATTTTCCTTGGGTCTAGGAGGCAGATAAGTCGGCTCGGTGACTCGGTTGATGCGTGTCATTCAACATCCAACATTTTAAAAAGGGAGGGGTCGAAAATATCAAAGTACCCCTGGATCACCCCCCCCCCCCCACACACACACACACACACACACACACACCCCAACCCCCACACCCCACACCCCACACCCCACACACACATCCTCTGAATCCGCCTATGGTTATAATATCCCATAGCGTAGACTGTTGCTCATAATATCAATCACTGGATTCTCTAGTAGTTCAGAGTCGATAATTTACAGGCGGGTAGCCTAGTGGTTAAAACGTTCGCTCGTCACGCCGAAGACCCGGGTTCGAATCCCGACATGGGTACAATGTGTGAAGCCCATTTCTGGTGTCCCCCGCCGTGATATTGCTGGAATATTGTTAAAAGCGGCGTAAAACCATACTCACTCACTCACTCACTCGGGTGAACAAGGTGACGCATGTACTGCGCACAACCCACACAGTCCGGAACCCAGTTCTCCACGCTGCATCCGGATGCGACGTGGGAACGTGAACAACATGCGTATTACGGAATTACTCATATGTAAGTCAATGAATATAGCAAAGGCGGAAGCAGTATTCACGCGTCACAAGGAAACACCAGTATTCAGAACACGCCCTACTGTTTCGTATATGTTGATGCTACGATTTTCCAGTTCAAACTGAAATGAAACTATAGTATAATAGTAATATTCTGAATGTATTGTATATTTAATTAGTTATTTTCTTTATAAATGGGCTGTTGCCGTGACCATGTTTCTTGGACGTAACGTGTCAATATATGTTTGTTATGTGTGCGCGTGCGTGTGCGCGTGCGCGTGCGTGTGCGTATGCGTATGCGTGTGCGTATGCGTACGAGCGCGTGTGCATGCGTGCGTGTGTGCGATAACTTTTTTAATATTAACCTTTGAATGTTATCCTTTATTTCGGGCATTAAATATATTTTTATTCTTATAGGTCCAGTCTATTGGTATTTTTTAAACCAAAGAGTAAACTTTTTATCAACATAATTCTATTTCAGATGCTGTTTCAGGTGACTTCTATAATGTGATGCCCCAAGTGTTTCACACAGAGAACAAGAAAATAGGGATGCAGAGCATCAAATCTCGTCGCATCCGTAAGCCTCAGTGGGGGCACGGGTGGCCCAGTCGTCTAAGGCGCCGCGATTCGCTGTGCAGAGTTGCGTCCCTTGGACTCGCCAGAAACCTGTAATTATGGGCTCGAATTCCGGTTCGCCCCGATTATGTTTCTATGTTTGTCAGCACCATACCCGTGCTCGTGGGTTTCACCGAAGTGGTAAACGTTTGAGACCTGCATCACTTCGGGCTTTCCTCCCACATTTAGCTGACACGCCGTGATATAACTGGAAAAATGTTAAAAGCGGCGTGAAACACACACAAACTCGAATATGTACCTCCGTATAGAACTACCTGTCCTGTAGGTTTATCCCACTTCATATGAGTGGACTGTAAGTGGGTTAAACTGGTTAAACGCCAACATCTATAGGCACCTTACTAGTTGATGTGACCCGTGAAGAATTGACCCGTCTTCAGCAATCCATGCTTGGCGTAAGGGGTGACAATGCTTGTCGTCAGACGCGACTAACGGGATCGGGTGGTCAGGCTCGCTGACTTGGTTGATGCCTGTCATCGTTTCCCAATTTAGCGGATCGATGCTCATGATATCAATCACTGTATTGTCTGGTCCAGACTCGATTATTTACAGACCACCGTCATATAGCTGAAATATTGCTGAGTGCGGCGTTAAACAACAACAAACAAACATATTGGTGTATGCGCAAGTGACAAAGCAATACGGAAATATCTGAGAATAATTATATTTTTGAAACAAGACCTACTCAAGCATGAACGTAAGCTAAGTTCTCTCAGCGTGAAGGAATGACACAACCAATGTTACATTTCTCAGAGAAACATGGCGGTCGGGTAGCCTAGTGGTTAAAGCGTTCGCTCGTCACGCCGAAGACCCGGGTTCGATTCCCGACATGGTGACCCCCGCCGTGATATTGCTGGAATATTGCTTAAAAGCGGCGTAAAACCTCACTCACTCAGAGAAACACTGAAGGGTTTATACGTTTGGCACCAGACACAAATCCTACCTTTAGTTGATATTTATGCCAGAGAAGCGCAAAAACTGAAAATTGTTTATTGCTGAATAGCAAAAGACACCAGTTCATACCGATATTTGAACGCAGTCCACATTGTTTTGCCTTGGAAACGCAACATCTGAAAATATAAATACGAAGAATCCCCACAGGTGACAGTTCAGCGCTTGTTTGAATTTCGTGCACACATGTCTAGTATGGAACAGTTTATGGGTTAACTCCCGGAAATAGGCCCTACGTCCATATGATCATACGTCCAGCGTGTTGCCTTGGAAACGTAAACAATAATTTGTTGTTACATTTCTGTAAAGAAAAGGTATCAGTTCGGCTCTTGTCTGTGTGTACACAGTTTCATAATTAATATTGGATAGCTAACGGATTATGCACCATCATTTCCATATGAGTCCGACTTTTTGGCTTTGAAGCAAGAAATGATAAGTTTTATGAATTAAAACAATCCTGAGTAATAGAGTGAGTGAGTGAGTGAGTGAGTATGG